CATGCAATAACAAGCTAAGATTTTAATATTCTGGAAATATATCAACGTTTTAGTTGTAAATTCAAAAAATCATGAAAACTAAACAATTTTAAGTGTATTTACGGAACAAATACTAATTATGAATATTTTTTTGTGATGATGATATCTAAAGAGTTCAACTTTGTGAGAGTAATATTAACAATATAAAAGCAAATTTTCTAATATATCTGTAAAGTGTAACTTCGGATAAGTCATCCATGTTCTGTCATGATTATAAACTTTAATATTTCATACACCAAAGAATTCTATTCTACGAGGGTTGATCCAAAATTTCAATTCAACATGATTCATACTTTTCAAAATATCGGATTATATACAACGTGCGATTATGATAGTCGCCACAACTTAATAACGTCATATGACGGATACGAGCCGTGATACATTTAAACGCTTCGTTTCATTAAAAATATTTGAGATTCATGAACACGTTCACAAAGTTCACTCTTGGTAGCCACTCTTTTCATAATTAATTCCTTCGTCAAAGAATTCCATTCTATTTTATTAAACTTACATTACTTAACACAGAACCAATGTTAGGTCTTACTTGAAGCAGTATCCAAAAGAAACTGTAAATTTGATAGAAACTTCCAAAACAATGGTTGTCTTTGTCCAATTGTTCCTCCAACCGCCTGTCTCTGGTTATTGAAACATTACAATTTTAGCTACAACCAAAATATTTTTTTTAGATAATGAGATATTTCAAATGTACTTTTCTATCAGTATGTTTGGAATTTCAATTTTATCAAAGATGCATGAAATCATGTGATTAGAACAGATATCGATAAAGCTTGTCGACTAAAGGTCCTGCACATTATCATTAGAATATGTATATGTACATGTATGACATAAAGAGAGAACCTGAAGGCTACTGAAGCAAAAGTGGCTGTACTTGTATTACAACGCTGTCTTAATTTTTAAGTCTATTCAACATATCTTAAAATGTTTATGTATTTAAACGTGAGTGCGAAGAGTTAGCGCTTCATTACAAATGTGCAGGTGTAAAGACGAATAATGACCCCCATCGAATAATGACCGGGGGTCATTTTTCAACGACAAAAAATGACCCCCTACCCGTAGAAAAAAATCATTTTTTGTAGAAAAAGTGACCTAGGGGTCATTATTTTATATGTTAGTCTTATAAAAAATTGACCCCCATTGAAAAATGACCCCCTTTAAAGTGAAAATAGATTCTTTAATTGTCAAGTAAATAAAATTTCTTTTTGATATTCCTCCTTATAGTGTTTGCTTAAAGAATGATATTCCACTTGTTTTTAGAAATCAAACCATGCAACAATCAGATTCCAATACTCTTTAATAGAAAAAAATAATTTTTCCTTCATTTCAACGTTTAGCTTGTGTAAATTTGGCAAATCCTATTTGACAATGAAAGAGGAGGAAATTTTTACCCCCCCCCAAAAAAAAAATACGTTAAATAAAAAAAAAAAATAAATGAAAGCAAAAATATCAATAAAACCCTGTACCTTTCAATAATACTGAAAGAGGCTCTAGATAAAATATTGAAATGAAGTTAAGCCTTCACACAAGTTCTATCATATCATAATTTACCTCGCCATGATTAAAGCATACTTTAAATGTTGGTGGGGGTATACTTGAAAGTATTGTGGCAAAGTAACAGTTGAAAATTAGTAGAATAGTAGATTATTTTAAGCTTATTTTTAGTCCCTCTTTATAGAAAAATAAAGGTAGGGTAGTTTTTTTGTTGCTTTTGTTGATAATCGACTTCCTCCTAAATAAGTACGTAAGGGGGTGGGGTGGGTATAACACCTAAAAATATATAATTATGCTCTGTAGAGCTATGGGCTAGTGTTAGATACCCATTCTAATGCAAAAACTTTACATGTAGACATAAACTTTTGATTTAGCACACAGTATTCATTACATTTCTTAATTTTTGTTCTACTCCACCCTTTTACCCAGTTCTGAGTATATTTTTCAGAGAATATGAAAATCAGAACAAACATTTTCATTTTTGGTAACGTCTTCTTTATACTGTATCATAATATGAAAAGTTAATTGAAGACCATTTCTTTTTATGTCCCTGTAATCGAAGACTCGGGGGTATATAGTTTTATCGTGTCCGTCTGTATGTCTGTCTGTCTATCTGGCGGTCTGTTTCTCCGCAAAAACTTTAACCTTGACCCTAACTTTTCATTTATTGTAGCTATGCCTTTCATATTCAATATGTGTATATTCTTGGTGACAAGACCTTACTTTGGGTACCACCAAATTTGACCTTTTGACCTTTACCTTGGGGTTTGTCCCATTTTACACAAAAATGCCAAATTTTTAATTTACTTTGGCTATAATTTTTAAACGGTAGAAACTAGTACTCTCATACTTCACAAATGTAATCCTTGTTACATTAAACCTTTCTTAAGAATCCATCAACTTTGACCCTTTGACCTTTGAGTTTGACCTACCTTTCAAACACTTATCCTTAGCCATTAATTTTGAACAAGTGGTGCTAGGGCTTTCCTATTTTGCAATTGTATTTCTTGTGAGAAGATCCAACTTTGGGTACCATTATATTTAAATTGCCTTTAAGAAAAGTTTAATCTTCACAATGTTGCCATACAGGGGCATAGCTGTTTCATAAACACATCTTTTTATATATAAGAGGAGTTGCGGATAACAGATGGATACCCCGAAGCGTAACAAACGGACGGACGGACATCCCGATCACTATACTAGTATACCCTCCCGCTTTTCAAGCGGAGGATATAATAATATACGATTCTGCTGATTTTTTCTGTCAGTACGATGATTTCCACCATCGAAATCATTACTCTTTTAGATTCTGAATCATCGCATTGGCCTTAAAATATAGCTACCGGCATATTTGTATGTTATGAGATCAACATATCATCAATTAATTCCAAATAAGCTCAGGTGAGCATTTTGGCCAACATGCTTGTTTATCTAATTTTTTTTTGCCCCTACAAATTTCAGCTTAAATCCACAGGGAGTCATTTCTCTACGGGGGTCATTTTTCTTCACGTGGATTCTGCAAATTTTTAGGGTGGTGACACTTTTTCTACGGGCAAAAGGGTAATTTTTCTACGTCGAATAATGACCGGGGGTCATTTTTCGCTGTCGAAAAATGACCCCCGTCATTATTCGATGGGGGTCATTATTCGTCTTTACACAGGCATGAAGCGTTGTAGTTCATGTACAAAAATCAAATTCATATCTTATATTTACAAAATTTTTCTAATGACCTCTACTATATATTTGTTGATCAATGATTATTATTGCATTATTATTTTTTGCTTCAATCACATCACAGTAAATTTATTCTTACTCATCCCATGGTAGTTTGTGAGAGCATGAATCTTTTGTTATTTGCAAAGAATCTTAGGGGAAAATATTTGGAAAATATTTTGGTTCAATGTTAGAGAGGAGATCTCAAAAGTTATGTTTCTTAGTTTTAGTCACTAATGGTTATCAAAAAAAGTTATTACTTATTCCAGTGTGATACATCACTTCTATAATGAGACAAGACCATATATGCATTGATAATAGTGATGATGATGGTAATGATAATTCATGTGTATGAAATCAAATAAAACAAAGTCTTCCGTTTTATATCTATAGTTTGATGTCATCTTTCTAAGCTCTTGGGGCCCGTTTCATCAAAAGTCGTAAAGTAAAGCCTTAACTTAGGCGTACTTCCGGGGCTTACGCCAAAGTTTAGTCGGGCGTAATTTGCGTTTCACCAAGTAGCGTAAGTCTAGTCGTAAAAGATACGCTTAGTCACAGGACTAAGTCCTTGACAACGTTGAATTGCGCAGGCGCAGAAACATAAACATTGCCCAATGGTACAAAAATGTATAAACTGTAGCACGTCAAAGTACAGAATAACACAAATTATAGATAAATTAATACTTGCACTAATTGAAACATGCACGGGTTTATAGTGTCATGTAGGAGACATGTATCTTATAAGGAACCAATTTTAGTTGTTTTTTTTTTACAACATTTCAATGATGAAAGTCTTATAAATTGAAAGGAAGAAAAGGACCGTACATGTACATGTATTTTGGAATTAAGCAAAACTACATTTTTGGAATTTTAATTACAGCCACTCCCCCCTTTTCCCGAAAATGATACAGGTTAATGACTTCGACTTTGATAATAAATTTCATGATAAATACTGATTCTACTGATAAATACTAATAATTATTAATGACTTTGCCTTTGATAATAAATTCCATGATAAATACTGATTCTACTGATAAATACTTCAGATAATTATGTTTGAGACAGAAGATTTAAAAATTTTCATTAGAAATGTATATGCAAGCAAAAATAATGAATACAAAATGCAAACAGTTTACATATGTACACATTTTGAGTCAAGAAATAAATTTTACACGTTTACTACTATGGCACATGTAAGATAATCCTCTCTAAATTTATTAAATTTTTGTCAATTCAAATGATTCATTATAACATTGTTATTGTTTATTAAAATGACACAAAGGTTCATAATATAATTTAAAAATATTAGACTCTAGGTCGTGCAGTTATTGAAAAAATCTTTACTATCTGCAGATTAAATGTAATGTACCGTTTTAAAAGTACGCAGAGAGAGAGAGAGAGAGAGAGAGAGAGAGAGAGAGAGAGATTCGGAAAAAAATGACTACAAAGATATTCTTACAAAAATTCTCTGCTTGTGTGGTCTCTGTCTTTAAGGGGGCTCTCTACACCTATAAAGTATAACTGATTTTTGTTGCATGCATTTGTTTCAAATAATAGACCCCATATCCGATAAAATAAGGTTCCAAAGTACTTCAATTTATTTTTTAGAAATATTTGAAATATTTTATTTATTTTGTTAAAATCCCTCCTATCTATATTTTTATAAGCCCAGTGCTTTTAATTTCTCTTCAAAGTTTAGTTTTATAAAATATTGAAATAATAACCAACAAAGATTAAAAAAAATCAACATAATTTTTATTTAAATTTACAAAAATAGACAAAAGAAAAACTAAAACAGCATTTTCTTGAGAATAGCTGGTTGGATCCTCTTCAATATCTGAAAAGATATATAATATCAAAGGTTAAAAACAATGAAAAAAAGAAATTGAAAAAAATTGAAAAACTGTCAAAAATTTATAAACATCACAAAAATTCAGGTGTGAGAGATCCGCTTTAAGAGTGGACTCAAATATCTTGGTACTGTTTTTTTTATATATAAACTTCAAATAAACTCTACTTGCACAAGTATTAAACAAATGTCACGCAAGGACATTGAAAGAAGTTCGTATTGTACATGTATTGTTTTTCAATGAGTTTAAGCGGAAATCATCGCGTTTTCAGTCAATGACAAAGACATGTATTTAGTGAATTCATGGTATTGAGAAAGGTAGATTTACTTACCGTTTTTATCCAACTTGCATGTGTTATTCAGTGCTATATATAACAAAACAAGTTAAGATGGTAAATGGCCAAAAGCGGTAAAAGAAATTCCTATAACCAAATGCACACTTCGTTTAAAACCTGCACGTTTCCCATACTTGTAAACAGCTGACAATCAATGGTGATCAAACGTTTGGGTCATGCGAAATTTCACCGGGTATAACCATTCCTTCGGGTGTATACAAATCGAGAACAGAGTATCCTCTAGTCGATGGGAAGATAATACATGTCTTATCTTATCAAATTTGCATTTTAGGGGGGATATATTTTGCTGAAAAGCATATATGCTTATTGGAGAAATAAATTTCTGAGTGTATGGCGTTTTGACACGTAATGATGAATTAGCATATGGACAAGCCATGTTTTATATCATTTTTTTCTCATCTAAAAATCTTATTCTAATAAATTTGTAAATGTATTATTTAATAACTAAATAAGTAGAAATTGAATAAATTGACAAACAATTCATTTTTAAAGAAAGGATACGTATTGGGCAATACACTGTATTAATTGATGTGATATAATGTACATTCCATCCACAATATCGCATGTTGTGTTATACTCAGTGATTTATCGGTGTTAAGTGAATTTGAATCTGATCATTTGGGATCAAAATGGCGTTTTTACGGAAGTACGCCATGTTGTGACGTTGTAGAGAGCCCCCTTAAAATAAAGTTACAGCTACTCTTTATTTGGTTTTCATTAAAAATGTAAGTTATGCAGGAAATCAAAAACATGTATATTTTTATTTTATATATGTGCTTTATATGCGCTCAGATTATATTACACTATGTAAAATTTACTCTTTTAAACAAAATCATGAAAATTAAAGATATGTCTTCTCCGTCAATGTTGTCTGAGAAAAAAAAATAGGAATAATTCATTCTTGAACTTAACTGTGTAATTATTACCGTCTTACATCGATATTATAAAAGCAATAATATATTTCCCCATTTCAAAATCTCTTATTGTTTATGACCCCCCCCCTCCCTGGGTTCCGTCTTAGATTTGCCAGGAGGTTCACTTGTCCCAGATATCTAGAAAAATAATTACTTTCCCCCTTAACTGAGTACACTGTACATTCAATGTTAATCAATCTGCAAATTCGGGAGGTTCTGAACTCTCTCTCCGACCCCCTCTAAATCCACGCATGTGGGCGAGAAGTAAATAAGAAATGGACTCTTCAAACATGACAAAAAACTATTTGGTTTTAAGATGGGTTATTTTTTTTTTTTTGGATTTTTTTCTTAAATGTAGAAAATTACCAGAAAGAGGATTACTATGCTTTTGAAACCGATTTTTTTTTGTTGTTGTTGTAATTTTTGTTTTTCAGAAAATATGTTTTTGGGAAAATATTTTAATTCAGTGTCCATGTTTTGCTGTGGGAAACCCAAAATATGTGTCGGATCAAAATGTACAATAAGGCACAATGGCAAAATGTAACTAGATGCTGTCATGAGACAGTAATACCCGCACTAAGGTGTTTGCCTCTAAATACACAATCCTACGGTCGGCTTACCAAGGAAAAAATCAAAATAATTCTATATAATTCAGGCACGTAGCATCGTTTTTGAAAGTGGGGGGGGGGGGCCAACCGTATAAAATTTTTTTTAAAAACAGAAAAAAATTAACATGGAAAAAAAAATGAAATGGGGGGGGGGGGGGTAGTGGCCACTTTTTTTTCAAGGCAAAATTACTTTCACTTCCAATTTTTTCCCATATTTCCTTGCAATGTATATACTGTGGTAAAAAGTGTGGGGGGGGGGGCAACCATCTTTTCAATGGACATTTTCTTATAGTACAGGTAATGTTGGGAAAAAAGGGGGGGGCAGCCCCCCCCGGTTGCTACGTGCCTGTAATTTACATGTATTCATCAAATTGGGTATGAAATTATCCCTGTGACCTATAACTCAGAAACTCTTACATTTATTTTACATGCTTAATTCATTATATACCAGTTTGAATTCTATTAATAATGTAAATTAGATTTTGATAAATGTTTTGCTCATAATAGGACCTTTTCAAATTTACTAATCCCCCCCCTCTCGACACCACAATCACACAGTACATACTTTTGGGAATAGGCTAGATGGAACAGTTTTGTTAAAACATTGTTTGTTATGAATTAATTTAAAATTTGTTCTTGACATGTAAATTCTACATCACATCACGTTGCGTCACCCATTATCATATTTTTAGATTAAACTCCACTCGGTACACCTCGGCCAATTCCCACTTCATCTGATAAGGTGACGGAATCGATGGCACGAAGGTTTTCCGAATGGAATATCATTATAACATGCTGCAGAATGGTGTGCTTTGGATTAATTCATTTTGTGTTATAATTGGATTTATATTTCATGAAGTTTACAAGACCTATGGAGGTCGGTAAGTACAAGTTTAAGTATAGTGGGGGGTAAAATAAACCCAAACGATTAGGTTAAAGTTCAAAAAGGGTCAAAGATCATCGCATGCCACACTAGACGAATTTCATATTGTGAAGTTATCTCCCCTTGTCGATGTGACATTCAGTTACTGCCAATACTGGTGCGGATCCAGAATTTTTTTTTCGGGAGTAGGGAGGGGGGTTCACATCTCAGTCAAAAAATTCATGCCTAGAATTTCCTGACAAGCAGGAGAAAAAAACTCATACACTGAAAACAAATAAACAAAAAAAACCCAATGTTTTCTTAATTAGGGGGAGGATGTCCAAAGTCATTTTTTATTTGCTTCAGTATATAGTCTTGTTTGAATAACAAAGGAAATTCCAGGGGGGGGGGGGGGTCCAATCTCCCTACCCACTCACTAACCCTGAAATAACAATCTATTTTGTGATTCCAATTAAATAGTATATTTTTTTTCCATTTGACTAATTATGTACATATTTTGTTTCTTGTGTTTATATTATGTCTGTCTATTTGTCTGCAGAAATTATAACCTTGCCCATAAGTTTTAAGTGGGATGGGCTATACAATTGGCTTCCACATTTTATAGGTTTATTTCTTGTGACAATTAAGACCTTTTATTTGGGTACCATTAATTTTTACCTCTGATCACTTGACCTAGAATACACATTTTTACAAGAAAATTACCCAACTTTAAACTTGGCCTAAATTTTGATCAGTAGGTGCTAGGACTTTCATGCTTAACATGTGTATTCATTGTGAACTGTCAACAGGTATAAATATGTTTGACCTTGACCCTAGAGTTTGAACCACTTAAAAAATTAACCTTGGCAATTAACTTTTGAAGAGGGAGTACTAGGGATTATTTATTTCACATGTGCATTCCTTGTGACAAGACTTTTTTCTGATACCAACAATTTGAACCCTTTGACCTTGACCTTTGAGTTTGACATATATTTGAGAAACGTCAACCTTCGCCATAGGCTACCAGACAGGGACATCAGTGTTTCACAAACACATCTTGTCTTCATTATTATTTGGTGGTGTCTCCATATGACGGAAAAATTCCAATGAGAGATGTATTCACAACAAACAAACAAATTACTAAAGAAGATATAAAACATGAATATGTTGGTCATGCATATCTCTGCATGAAAAAAAAACAGCTTTTCAAGTACTGCAACCATATTGTAACCCTTTCAAAACACTCATTTGAGCTTTTCTGGTTTCCTTGTCATATAACGTCTGTTGTGACATGTTGTCCATCTGTTTGTCTGAAAATTTTTTACATTTTTAACTTTTCTAGAACCACTGGCCCAATTTTACCCATGCAGTCAGACTGTTCTTCTGTCTGAATAAAATTAACCTTGGTTATCACGGTCATATCTACTGAATGAGAAGAGACAATTTAAGGCATTCATATTAAACTTATGTACAAGTATTTACCTGTGAGAATGGCATGGTTTTTTTTTTACATATGACCTAGAAGTTTGACCTACTTGCAAAAAAATTAAATTGTTATAAATTCATCATTTGAAAGAGAAAAGTTAGGGCATTCATATTATAATGCATGTATATTATTACCTGTGATAAGATCTTTCCAAATTATTCATGACTTTTACTCTGTGACCTTGACCTTGAAGCCTAACCTACTTTTCAAAAATGTTGCATTTGCTTATAACTTTTGATTGAGATGAGATATGACTCTCACATTTGACATGTACATTAATTACTCATAAAAATTCAAGGTGTTTCCCAGCTTGCAATGTTTTTTTACTCTTTAACGTTGATGTTTTACATAATTTTCATGATATTTAACTCTCCTAAAAGATGATTAGGCTTCTGAGTAACATTAAGGAGGGCTTCAGGAAAGACAGGACTTTTTGCACAAAAAATGTCATTTTTCCAACCCCATTTGACCTCCCAGGGCAATATCAAAATTCCAAAACCTTACTGCACATCTACATGACACCACCAACCATCTCCCTAAAGATGATTAGTCTACTGTGTAAAATGTAAGAGGAGTTCAGGGAAGACGGGGCTTTTTGCATAAAAAACGTCATTTTTCGACCCCCATTTGACCCCCCGGGGCAAAATCAAAATTCGAAAACCTTACTGCACATCTACATGACACCACCAAACATCTCCCAAAAGATGATTAGCCTACTGTGTAAAATGTAAGAGGAGTTCAGGGAAGATAGGGCTTTTTGCATAAAAAACGTCATTTTTCGACCCCCATTTGACCCCCCGGGACAAAATCAAAATTCCAAAACCTTCCTGCACATCCACATGACACCACCAACCATCTCCCAAAAGATGATTAGCCTACTGTGTAAAATGTAAGAGGAGTTCAGGGAAGATGGGGCTTTTTGCATAAAAAATGTCATTTTTCGACCCCAATTTGACCCCACGGGGCAGAATCAAAATTCCAAAACCTTAATGCACATCTACATGACACTCCCAATCATCTCCCAAAAGATGATTAGCCTACTGTGTAAAATGTAAGAGGAGTTCAGGGAAGACGGGGCTTTTTACATAAAAAACGTCATTTTTCGACCCCCATTTGACCCCCCGGGGCAAAATCAAAATTCCGAAACCTTACTGCACATCTACATGACACCACCAACCATCTCCCAAAAGATGATTAGCCTACTGTGTAAAATGTAAAGAGGAGTTCAGGGAAGACGGGGCTTTTTGCATAAAAAATGTCATTTTTCGACCCCCATTTGACCCCCCGGGGCAAAATCAAAATTCCGAAACCTTACTGCACATCTACATGACACCATCAACCATCTCCCAAAAGATGATTAGCCTACTGTGTAAAATGTAAGAGGAGTTCAGGGAAGACGGGGCTTTTTGCATAAAAAACGTCATTTTTCGACCCCCATTTGACCCCCCGGGGCAAAATCAAAATTCCGAAACCTTACTGCACATCTACATGACACCCCCAACCATCTCCCAAAAGATGATTAGCCTACTGTGTAAAATGTAAGAGGAGTTTAGGGAAGAAAAGTGTGACAGACGGACGGACGGACGGACATGAGTAACAACAATATACCCGAACTTTCTTTAGAAAGTGCGGGTATAATAAAGATTCTGTGAAAAATTCATCAAATTTCAATAAGTGGTAGGAGAGGAGTTGCGGATAGAGATGGGTACCCCAAAAGCGTAACAGACGGGCGGACATCCCGATTACTATATAGTTTATACATGTACCCTCCCGCTTTTCAAGCAGGGTGTAGAAATATAGTTATATATGTATATTGATTTACAATACAT